CAAGGGACTGCCCTGGTGTGAAGAAGTTCAGACGAAGGTACCTAGGTCTCACCTCTGTGACCATCGATTCATCGTCACTTATCAACGATCTCCAACGAATATTTACGCAGACTCGTCACGCAGAAGCACGATCTGGATCAGGTTGCACAGCATTCTTGATCATGCTGATATGAAAAGGGACTGGTGAGCCATGGATAGGCACAAAGACAACCTGACCCTCCATATCAACGTGAACCTCGCTAGGAAGTAAGTCACTCGGGTATCCCCTCGTAGAGCTACATGATTATCTCCATTAAAATTAAATGAAAGTACAGAACGCTGACGCTGGTAAGGAACGAGTATGCCTCAACTTCAGAAGTGTCAATGTTCGATGAGCTGACCTCATATTGCTTATGTGAATTCGAATCTGCGATGCGCCTTGAGGCTAGTTTATGTCGCATGAGCGCAGCTTGCTTTTCTTCACGGTTACTGTTTCTTGCGGCATCGTCTGTTGCTTTCGCACGCTCTCTTAGACGGCTGCTGAGTACTGCGCTGTGACTTCCCTAGCATGGTGTGATGGCGATTCGAATGCACGTGGTTAACACGCTGGCTCAAACCGCGGGCTTGGAGGGCAACACCAGGTTGCCAGTCATCACGTCTTCATCTGAGAGCTAGGATGACACGGGAAATTACATATTTGAATCAAATGCTTACTTTGATTTTTGACGATGTTTTCTTCACTATTTTCGTTGATGAAATATGAAACATCACGCCATTCCACCGAATGTTTCGTCAAGAGTTCTGGTGGTTCACCATCAGCCTATCGCCAATTAATAGCAATAATGAGGCACACAAATCAGTGCATACCCGAATAATCACAGTATCAGCAACAAGCATTGAATATTCTGCTAGCTTACTCACTGATCCCATGGCATCGAGCTTATCGTTTGGTTCCAACGGTACATCATGCAAACCAATTGCCAGGTTGAACACCATGTTGGGTGAGAAGCTGAGGTCATTCTTAGAATTCAGAAGTAACGTGGCTTCATGGAAGTCCAGACCCAACCCAAAACCAAGAGTCTGTAGACAAGAAGCATCCTTATTCAAGACAACTAACTAAGTCGTGTCACCTTTGGCAAATAGTCAAGCATATGTGGATACTTCTGTGAGAGGAATTTCGAAGCAGCCTCGGCAACGCCCCCCATTCGCTGCCCTGCGAGCATGTGTTCCAAGCACTCACGACGCAACTCAAGCATTATAGAATATGTTCTCTCAACTTTTGGTACCTGGACGTAGGGGGCCATGTTGCCGGGAATTATTGCGTGACATACTGGGTCAACAAAAAATGTCCTTGCTATATTGGCACAGTAGAACTTGTAGCGAGCACCAAGTGAAATGATGACGATATCATCGGAGAGTGATTTATCATTTGTGGTGGCTGTTGGCCGAAGATCATAGTCACCGCCGCTCTGAGAAGCAATATTAGAGATACATAAATGTGCACAAAGAAGGGAACTGCCGACACGGGCAGCACTTGAATAATAGGAAAGTAACATGACTCTAGCTGCCCAGGAGGCACATTCAGCTTGATCTTTGACGGGTCTTCGCAGAATTCTTCCGCCTTGGTGGCGAGTTCCTCGTGGGTGATTGGTTTTGCTTGGTCGAATGAGTCTTCCACCAATCGTACTACGCCATGTTTTAGTACTTTATGTGTTATTGCTGCCGCCTTGCGCAAGCTCGATGAGGCGTCCTCGTCTTTTGTACTCATGAAAAGGCCAAGCGCCGCCGTGATGTCAACTTGTTCCAATTCGGCCTGGCGCATTAGGGCAGATAATTCATTGCATAAACGCAATTTGGGAAGCTTGTGAGAAAGTCCCAGGAGGCGCGTGCATGCGGGTGGGGATGGGCGGGTTGGGGTGTGGTGGGGTGGGTGGGGTCCTTCAGAGGCCGATACACAGAAAAATTGCGGACTGTACGGCTGCATTCCAAGTATTTGCGACAACACCACGAAATTTCATTTTCAAAAGACATCCAAGTTTTACACCACCGCGGCTTTGCTTGATCTTGTTTATTAGAACATGGTATACCGACGCACTACTGTCATGTTTTGAGGCCCTATATTAAGTTTATCTCACAAACATGAGTGACAAAAATCACCTGTGAATAATCAGCGCCACTTCCTGTGTTGGACGTTCTTTTAGAAGACCTTCCAACATCACACACTTCTTGGCCGAGGTGACAATATGTAGGGCTCCGTCACACAACACAGCGAGTGAACCGGGGAGCTCGCGGCCGAACAGATGAATAAAAAAAGCAGAACACCTACATTGATTATGAGGACAGAAGAAGATTAGGTACCAACTTGTTAAAGCTCGGCTCCTCTGAGGTTACTTCCAGTGGAATGGAAAGTGCATCAGTTTGCCACTTTTGATCGCACATGAACGAACGATGCAGCTGCGAGAGGCGACGCCAGAAAATCGCCGCGTCAAGGAGCGCCATTTCAAATTTTGTTGTTATTTGAGCGGCGTCTCGCGACGCGCCGCAAGCTCTTTCGGGGACCGCCGCCGCGTAGGTCGCGTAGGTCCCTATGGGCCAGTAGGCTCAGTGGGCTGAGCCTATGGTCCCTGGATTTGAAGGGAGGAAGTAGACCTTGAGGGTAAGTTGAGGTAGATCTTGAGTGATAAACGGCGACTATCGAGGTCATAACGCGAGTGTGATTAAGGCCGGAAGTTAAATAAAAATAACCTGAGGCAATTAATTTGTTTGAGGAGCTAAATGACGATTTCGTAGCAAATCGTGAAAGATTTACCAAAACTCTCTCTCTCCAGCCAGCAAATCGAGCGGATTTGCTCGCCGCCCGAGCACGAAGCCGGCGCCGGTCGTCTCAGCGCCGCCGAGAGGTGGTCCCAACCGACTGGAAAGGTCTCCATCCGCTGCCGTGGTGGCGCGAGATCGGCGCGACACTCGCCGTGCGGTGGCACCCAGATGAGGTGAACCATAGCACAGGCGTTATAGGCTTAGGCTAGGTTAAGGAGGAGGAGGATACGAGGATTCGTACCCTAGGGGATGACGCTGGGGGAATTGGGTCATCTGCTCCCCCGCCGCATGCGGGCGTATGGAGGGGGCTCGCGAGGAGGCCCGATGGGAGCCCGCTTGGGGTAGTTGTTCCTTTTTCTTTTTTTTTTTTTTTTGGTGGTGCTGGCGTAGTGCTGACGTAGGCGTCGTAGTCGCCGGCCCGGCACAATCAACGTGCGCTTGGCGATAAGCCAGCTACCTAGGGAGCCTACATTCCGGAGTCCGCTCCTTGGGCTATCATATCAGGCTGCTACCCTAACTCGGGACTATGCTATCCTCCCTATGCTGGGACGCTCATACTGGCCTATGCTGGCTATGCTAAGTCTGCCTTATGCTGGCTATGCTCATGCTATACTATGCTGGTGCTTCATACTAGCATACTCGGATTCTAACCATCGTTTGCTTTCCACTGGCACCTTGGGCCCGGGCTTCACTAGAGCTATTGGCTTATCCGGTGCTGTAGCCCGGCCTTCATGGCGTCGACGGGATCGTGGGGGGTTAGAGGAGGGAGGTGGGTGGGTGGGCGCCACCAAAAATTGGTCATGTTGTCCCGTACTGAGGTGGTGCACAAACACTTCTCACTCTAGCTAGAGAGTATGGAACCTGCTCTGAGACGCAAACTCACCGCGCAGCAAGCAAGCCAAAATGTAATAGTTCCCACAGCCGTGTGCAAGACCCGCCAACGTGCAGGATTGGGGCTGCTGACAGTTTTCACTTGTCTGGGCTTGCGTACGGCTGGCACTTTTCAGAGCACAATCGCATCTCTAGGTGTTTTCCCGATTACGGGCGCACCCCAATTCTGTGGCTCAGATGCCCGGCGCGCGTGAGTGAGCCGTCTGCCATTAATTGCCTTTTTTCAACGTGGATTGTGCAGGTTTCCGTGGATGAGTCCCCGCACATTCAACAGTTCAAGAGCAGGGGTCGACGTGCAGTCGCGAGTGCTGCCAGTGTTCCTCGTTGCGTGCGGTCATTCAGGCACGACACCCCTGGTGCATTTACTTTCCTTACATCCGAACTTGTATACAGTCGCCCCAACAGCCGCACTTGAGTATTCCGTGAAACCAGATAGTTTTGGGCGTGCATCACTGCTAGCATCACGCCGGGATGACATGACATTTACTAATCTTGCATTAGCAAACAAACGGCGAAATGCCACGCGATGGCTAGTGAAGTCTCCATCGAATGCATGTCGTTTAGGGTATATTTTTGAGGTGCTACCAGTTGCTCGTGTAGTTGCCTTGATCCGCGATGGTCGCGATGTCATGCTCTCTCTCATAGAACGTTACCCCGACGCAGATCCAGGTGGCGTCCTTTGCCTCCAGCGTG